AGCCTAGGTACAGACATGTACATATGTAAATATATTCAAGGCTCATTTTAACAGGAACTTACGAGCACATACCTGAAAGCATCCCAATTCCATGAACCCCAGAAATCTGGATTTTAGGAGAATTGAAGTGGCTTCTCAAACCCAACCAGGCGCCATCAAGTCAATTGCCACTCATAGTGACTCTCTGTGTATCAGAGTAGACCTGTGCCACTTAGGGTTGTAATGGCTCATTTTGCAGAAGTGAATTGCCAGGCCTTTATTCTGAGGAGTCTCTGGTGGATCCAACCATTTTCAGTTAGCTTGTTAAGTACATTGACTGGTTTTAGACTCTATCTTCAGTACCAGATAGAAAGCTAGCAGGTAGAAAAGGAAGCATATTTCTGGCTTTTCAAATAATTATCAGAGATGAGATAGTTGCTTAGGCCTCTAGTCATGCTTTGGACATATTTTTATTTGAACTTGTGCAACACTTCCACATATTTAAGGGAAAAAGTCACAAAGGGGAATCTAATGAAGTAGTTTCCTATAAATCAAATTCAAGTGCAAATGTCCCTACTGGTTTGCCTTTCCTTTTTAATGCACATCATTTAGAATGACAGCCTTCCTTGGGAAGCAATGGTAATGGATGAGAATCAACCTTCCAACCTAATGATACGCATTCAGATCCTGTGGTGGTGAAATTAAACTCTACAGTGAACAGCTCCTTTCATGCTTCAGAGGCAAATCAAGAATTGCAGAGAGACCTAATCCAATCAGCCGGAACAACACTTTACTCAGGACAGTCATTAAGTCAGGTGCAGCAACAGCTGTTTCAGCTACTCGCCCCCAGGGCTAGAGTCTGAGTTAGAGTAATCACTTGGAAAGGCCAGATATCACTGCTATGTTTATTATACTTATGTCATTATTATTATTATTATTATTACTATTCCTCTTTCCGGGAACAGGACTTCCAACACATGCATACACACATATATGAGGGGGTACTCAAAAAACTCGGAATTTATTTTTCAAAGCCATGTATTTAAATTGTTCTACAAAACAACCTTATTGTCTTCAAAGTACTCTCCATTACACTTAATACATTTTGAAATCTGTGATTCCATTTTTGGAAACATTTTTCAAACTCGTCTTGTTTGGATGGCTGATAGCACCTCCCTCGTTTTTTCCTTCACCTATCCCATGTCATCAAATCGCTGTCCTTTCACACCCCTCTTCATCTGTAGAAACAAAAAGAAGTCACAAGGAGTGAGGTCTGGTGAGTAAGGTGCATGGGTCAAGAGAGGCATGCCGATTTT